GCTTCAGAGCACGGTGGGGGCTGCTGGTGGGGGGGAGATGGAAAGCTGATCAGTGAGGGGGAAATGAAGGTAGGTTGATGCTTGGCTGGGCAGGGGATAGGATTGCCAACTCCAGGTGGGAAATTCCTGGAGATTTGAGAGAGGGTGAGGTTTGTGGAGGAGTGGGGCCTCAGACAGGTACAATGCCATAGACTCTGCCCTCCAAACCATCCATTCCCTCATGGGGAACCACTGTTGCCAATCTCCAGGTGAGGTCTGGAGATCACTCAGAATTACAACTGCTCTCTTGATGGCATTGATCTGTTCCCCTGGAGAAAATGGTGGACTCTGTGTCCTTATACCCTGCTGAGGTTGCCATAGCAAATTGATGCTGAGTGCCCACGGCCTTGGCACTCTCCCAGAGCCTCTTTCTAGAGCTCATTGTATTTATTTCCACAATGGGCCTTATTCCTAGTCTGTATATATTTCTCTTTTTCTGATGACAATTTTTGTTTCATATTAAGAGATTTCTTCTTATCATATTTGACTCCTCACTGTTTCCCTTTTTATCTTTGTGTTTTGTCAACATTCACTCCCTAGACCTTCATCATATGTTGATGGTATGCTCATATTTATTGAATTGCTTACATAAGTGTTAGCATTTTGCATATGAATATATACTTTATATATACTTTGTATATATGAATATATACTTTATATTAATATATACTTTATGCTATATATATGAGAGATGCTGCATAAAATAAATATTACCTATTTGGCCTTGCATGAATTATTTGTTCCTTTGCACATTATCTGATGTAATTTGTTTTGTTTTGTTTTGCTTCCTTAGAGCTGGCAATAGGCAGAATGCCTTAGACACTGAACTGAAACTAGTACAAGCCTCCCTAAAAGATCTAGAGAATTTTCTCAAGTGGATGCAAGAAGCAGAAGCTACAGTTAATGTCCTTGCAGATGCATCACGACAGGAAAATGCTGCACAGGATGATGCTTCTAGAAGAGAATTAAAAAAACTGATAGAGGTAAGAATTTAATGTTAATACTGTTGTGTGTACATCTTTAAAAAATCAAGAAAGCACACATTTTACAATAAGGATACAACTTGTACAGTAAATCAGACTTAAAAGCTACTCTGGCTTTCAACAATTACTTTCCAAACTATTGTAGCCTTCTGGAAATGGTGTGGTAACATAAGAATTTCTTCCAGATCTATAACTGAAGAATCATAGTGTTTTCCATCTTATGCATTGGTTTGAGTTTTGTCTCTAAGGATTTCTCAGAAACGTAGCATTCCTCTGGACCACCAAATCTCCCCCCTGTTGTTTTTATTCTCAAACTCTAAGACAGTAATAAGTAGACTTTGGCGGTCAGTTGTGAATGAGTGGGAATTTCTCCTTTTCTGTTTTTATTGGTAAGGAAGACTCCTAAGAGGTGTGATTTGCAGAAGAAAGCAAAGCACGTGGCTGAAGGTATCATTCCTAATCAAATAAAGCATTTCTGTCTTGTATGACATCATTAACTCCCAGTCTGCCTTCTAGACATAAAATTTGGAAGAAAGATAAGGGGCATTAGATTTTGTAATATCCAGAAATAAACATGCAAGAGCTAGGTAAATTTATGCTGTAATAGATTGACAATACAGTCCTAAACAGAATTATACCCTTTTGAGCTTACTGACTTCTGTGGACTTGGAAGGGTGTAGCTTGGTTTAGGACTGCACCATGAGATGGTAATTGTACATTTTAGTACCATCTTTGCTTGGTTCATTAATATTTATTCAGTAAGACTTGCCTTTTTCCCTTTTCTGCTTCCCTGTTGTGTCCAAAGGCAAATAACGTTAGCTACTCGTTGTCTACTAAAATCTCCAGACTTCCTAGAAAGCTGTTTGAAGCCTAAGCTCACAGCTGCTGTAGTTCATTCAAAACTGGTTTTCACACTTGTTGATGATATGGGAAGAATGAACTACTTAGCCTATTCAATTAAAATTATTTCAAGACAAATGTATTTTTAAAATGTGTGAAATAAATGGCAGTCAAAGTAACCTTTAAAGCTTCATTTGTTTATCACTGTTGCTGAGGAATTTGTGTTGTTGGACATACTTAGTTTGCCTCCTTTCCTTCTTGAAATTCCATGTTCCTATTGATGTTTTGGGTGATTGCTTACTTGAAGGCACTGGTAAGAAGTCTATAGAGAGTTTGAGGGGAGTAGTTCATCAGACCAGGCAGTTGAATACAGTTACCTTTTTTGCAAATATTAAGGGAAAAACATAAATGTAAACTTAAAAGTGTGGAATGCTTTGCCCTGCAAACTCTTCATAGTTACCGTCTTCATTCCTGAATATTTTAATACATTTTCTCTTCAATAATTTTCCTTCATTATCTGGTGTAATGTAGTCTCAGTGTACAAATAAATTAAATAAAATGATAATGGCTAGATCAGCCTTGTAATTCAGTGCTGGCTTTAAGAAGGCAAAAAAGCGCCTTTGTGATCAACAAAGTTAACTTGTTCTTACTGGACTACAACGTATTAGTGATGAAGACAGAGAATAAAACATTCAAGCATTATTTTGAAGGCTAAAACTCAACCATAAAATCTTTCTGCTTGCAAATGTGAAGGGAGAAGAACATCAACACACAGGTGGTACACTGGAAAACTTTTTTGCTCAGAATTTTTAGAACTAACAATCAGTTTACTCATTTATTGAGATGTGATCATTTTGCTTTTGTTTGATGTGAGATAGAAATTGACTTGTCTGTTGTATTTTCACCTTATATTTTCACCTGGCTTAAACCGGGCTGCCCAGCAGAGCCCCAGCCAAGACTGTGGGAAGAGTTCTCCCTACAGGATCGGCTCCTATGCGAGTACTTTTGGGCAGTCCAGTTTAAAGGGACTGCCCAAAAGAGCTCCAGCTGAGCTGCCTCTCTGCTGTTTTTTGTCACTTTGCTGCTGCTCCCCTCCCCATATTTTCTGGTTTGGGTGTATTGGACCTGAAAAAATTCAGGATTTCCGAAAAATCCCGTATCCAAATACTTTACTAGTATTGGGATCTGGGTTTTTTGGGAATCTTGAAATTTTTTGCGAGTCCAATAAACAAGAACCGAAAAATACCAGGGGAAAAAATTGCACACCCCTAGTTTAGATCTCTCCCCCATTTGTAATGACATACAGAAACGTGTCTTTCTCTGCTTCATCTATGATTGACCAAGGAAATAATGGCCATTTATGTTAATACTAGGAATAAGGCTCATTGTGGAAATAAATACAACAAGCTCTATAAAGAGGCTCTGGGCAGGTGCCCTGGCCTTGGACACTCATTGTCAATTTGCTGTGGTGACCTCAGTAGGGTATAATGACACAGACCTTACCATTTTCTCCAGGGGAACTGATCTCTGACACCTAAAGAGCAGTTGTAAATCTGAGTGATTTCCAGCCCTCCCCTGGAGATTGGCAACAATGGTTCCCCAGGAGGAAATGGCAGGTTTGAAGGGTGGAGTCTACAGCTTTGTACCCGTCTGAGGTCCCATCCCTACTCAAACCCCACTCTCTCCAGGCTCCACCCCTCATATCTCCAGGAATTTCCCAACCCGGAGGTGGCAACCCTATTTCCTTCCCAGCCAACCATCAATTTACCATCTTCCCCTCTGACTTCAGGTTTCCATCTCTTTCCCCCCCCTCCCTGTAGCCTCTACCTAGGAAAACTACAGTCTTTCTTTGCAGTGGGGATCCAAGCAGGAGGGAAGTGACCTCAGCAGGGTATAATGACATAGAGTCCACCCTGGAGAGCAGCCATTTTTTCCAGGGGAGCCGATTTCTGCTATCTGGAGAACGGTTTTAATTCTGAGTTATCTCCAGCAATAGTTCCCCAGGAGGAAAAGTACAGTCTTTCTTTGCTGTGGAGACCAAAGCAACTTGCAACATTCGCCTCTCCTCCTTTTGATCAGTGAGGTAGGTTAGGCTGAAAGTCTGTGATTGGTCCGAAATCACCCACTCAACTTCCACAGCAAGAACCTGGTCTGGCAGACGCTGCTCTGAAGTGCTAAATGCTATGCCAAGGTTAGCCAACCTCCAGGTGGAGCCTGAAGATCACCAGGTATCACAACTGAACTCCAGACAACAGATCTCTCCCCCCCTGGAGAAAATTACTACTTTAGAGGGTGGGCTCTATGGCATTCTATTCACCCTCTGCCTCCCCAAACTCTGGCTTCAGCAGACTCCACCACAGAATATCCAGGAATGTCTCAACCTGGAGCTGGCAACCCTAGTTAGGACTGGCCCCAATGAGATCCCCACAAAGGCCTGGAAAGCACCTCCTGCCTTTGCCTTTTTACTGAAAGAACCAAGCTTGGTTGCCTAGCAACAGCCACTGAGGGAAAAATTAGTCCCACAGGAGCCAAACAGGAGAAGTGTCTTCATCAGGAGAGACAACCGTTTGGCACTTTATTCTGTGAGAGAAGAGTGTCCAGGCTGGTAGTGAGTGGGGGAGAGAAGCGGACCCAGCCCCCAGCCAGTGGCGTGCTAGTACTCTTGAGTGGCGGTTGATGGGCCAATGGCTGATGGAGCGCACTGCACAGCCAGTGGGAGAGCTTGAAATGACCAATATGTAAGGGAATGTTATATATATAGGATACTTCAGGCTACAACTGATATGATTCCAGATATTGGAAAATGATGGACTTAGCTTCCTGCACCCTGCCAGTTAGTCTTGGAGTATTTCTGATCTTCTGATGGTAGGAGTCCTTGTACATAGCTCTCCTTTGAGTGCTGGGTGTTTAAACATTTGCTTCGTCTTTTCTCTCCGTGAATATTGGGTATTCTTGAGTTTGGGACCCATTTTCTGCCAAAGATAACTGAGATTAATGAATCATCTTCCTTCCTTCCTTCCTTCCTTCCTTCCTTCCTTCCTTCCTTCCTTCCTTCCTTCCCACCCAGTTGGGACACAAATTGGCATTTAGAACATTGGTCTCCCCTCCTTCATTCTCTAACAATAACCACCCTGTGAAGTAGGCCAGGATGAGAGTTTGATGGGCCTGAGGTTACCCACCAAACTTCCATGGTAGAAGTAAGGATTCAAACCCAGGTTGCCCAGCGTCCTAGTCTGCAACTCTGTCCACTATACCACACTGGCTTTCACTGAGAAGTGAATGAGAAGCATCAGTGTATTTCTCACACAAGGAAGAAGACTTGTGCTGAAACTCTTCCTGGTGTGATGAATTGCCTATAAGAGGCAAAGTCAGTAATGAGAAATGAACTGGTGAGTTTTGGCTGCTCAATTTTGACCTGATAATGTGTCATGTCTAAATAAATACAAGGAAGACATTGTGTGCACAAGATATTATTGGATTTTATTTCTCTTTGTACCAATGCAGCTGTCTCCGATCACAAAAATTCCTGTAGGCAATGTCCCGTTTCCCTTTTAGAAATTGAACATACTGTGGTAATGGAACCTATACTGACACTTGTTGAGATCCATTAAAATGAGATTTGCTTGACATGTGCTCTCTCTTTCATTTTGTAATGCGGTGCTATTTAGCATTACAATTTGTCTTTTTATTTCTTGTTTATCCATAAAATGCTGTATTGGAAATTCCTTCCACAGTCAAAGATGAAATGAAGCCAATCATGTTTTTACTTCACCTGCATTTTAAATATTGTAACAATCTCTATAGTGAATAAACAACCAAATCCTCTGTGTTCATATGTGCTTCAAATCTTTGCGTTTGTTGTTTCCTTGTCACCCACACATATGGCACATACAATTATGGGACCACCATAAGCTAGGCACCACCCACTGTTGTGCATATGATCTCAGCATGGCAATTTACTGAAAGAAAATACTGTTTTAGAGGTATACTCCCCACGAATCTTCTGCATAAACTAAGGGAAATCAGGTTCATCAGCTGAGAGAGGAAGTGAAGGAACTCAAATTATATTGGGAAAGGAAGGGGTGATGTTGCATGGTTGAACAGTTTGTTAAAGGAAGATGTGGGTACAATGGCAGAGATATGTGGACTTTGTTCTGTGT